TGTTTGTATGTCAACTCATAAGAAAATATTTTCCGATTATTAACAAACAAACAAAAAATAAAAAAATAAATTAATAATAATAAGAAAATTTTATATACAGTATAATATAATATATACACCATATAAAGAATTTTATAAAATCAAAAATTACAAAAAAGACTAATAATTTAATTTGATTAAAAATTATATTTTATTATATTAATCGATTTGAATATAGATTTTCATAAATTCTAATTTATTAATATTAATATATCATACATATATCAGTAGTTTATTTGTTTTGTTTTCATGATAAATAATTTTAACACYTTTTCACTATAATTTTCTCAACTATTTAAATACAATACTAAATATAAATCATATCTTTTTATTTTTAAAAAATGTTAACCCTTTATGTGCCATAACAACGCCTTTTGCTGTTATTAGTTAAATACATAATCACTATATTTAAAGAAATAAAATTTTATCACTTAATATGTATCACATTTAGTTATTTACACTTAAATATAATATACATATACAGTATTAAATATATGTTTATCTAACGTAACCACAAAAGTTAAAAAAATATCACTTATTATTTGTGTTGTGTGTGTCTGTATGTTAGGCTAATCAACAGAAAGGCGTGTTTTTTATAATAAGCATTGCGTGAGTACTTAAAATTTGAGAGAAGATAGATATACTATATTATATACCGTTCCCACAATGAGCTGCCGCTGGGGCAACTCATTTTAGTTATGTGTGTGTTTGTACAGCTATATGCGTGGCTGGTCTGGTATCGCTAATTGATATCGGTTTCAACCAACAACAAAAAAATACCTAAACGAAAATTAAATATATGAAAAAATAATTTTAATTAATTTTTCTATGATTTCATTTTTTGAATGAATAAGTGAATTGAATAACTCTCTCTCTCTCTCTCTCTCTCTCTCTCTCCCTGTTTGTCGTAACGATATCTAAAAAACAACTGTTCCACTCATTAGTGTATATAAGAAAAAACGATATGAACGACAAAAACACCACAAAAAATAAATGACATTTAATTATCATAATTATTACATTTAAATCCATAAACGATTGCCAACTCTCTCTCTCTCTCTCTCTCTCTCTCTCTCTCTCTCTCTCTCTCTTGCCATAAGAGTATCTAAAACTGAAATTAAATGTTTTTAATATTATTTTGATTAGTCTCATCCATCACAACCTAATAAATATCTCATAGACACAGAGGACAAGTATTAAATGCCAGTGCTTTTGCGGTATTCACAGGTTGTATATGTATTAATAGTATGTATCTGTATGTGTGAGCTTATATATCACTCTAACTAGAAATAGAGTTTTATGTACTGTTTTATATATACTGTATCTATAATGCTCATCAAAAACATGAAATTTTATTATTATATGCTATTTTTAAATACAATATATCAGAAAAAGCACAGGGATGGCCGTCATAGATAGCCCAGGGTATAGCCTTGTATACTATACATGTGTGCGACATTGATATTGGTATCTACCTATCAATCTGTCTCATGGATTGTCTCCTGTGATTGCAAAAAAAATAAAATTATTTTTTGATTAACTAATAATATTAATAAAAATATATTATTTGCCAAACGGTTTAATTTCTCAAAAAAATGCATAATTGTATGTACAGTATGTGTGAGTTGGATATAATATGTCATAAAAAGAGTCTAGAATTTCACTAAAAACTTTAGTTTAATACAAATCACTCAATCTATTAATTTTTTTGGCAAAAATAAAAATACTGTACTTTTATATTTAGTTTATGTATGGTATGTGTCGGCCATACCTTTTTCCAAAGTATTGCTGTCACACAACAATAATTACCCCCACCCCTCCTCTTATCAAACTGGCACTGATGTAAGCTTTTTCATACAATCTATACGATATAAAATAWACAGATATGTATTCAAATTGATTTCACCAAACATAACAATATAATTATATGGCTCTCTCTCTCTCTCTCTCTCTCTCTCTCTCTCTCTCTCTCTCTCTCTCTCTCTCTCTCTCTAATATTATAATATATGATTTTATACAATTATTATTTTTTATATAACAAAAATTTTCATATTAGTTAACAGCACACATATATGGAGCATATGCTGTATATAGTATGCAAATTATATAGACTTTATTAATATTCAATACAACTATTTCATTGATTAGTTTTTCTATATTCACAAATGGATCAAAAAGTTTGACATTAAAATTGTTGATAACAGTAATACTGTATATATTTTTTTCGTAGATTTTAATATATTTTTTCTAATTTTAATAAAAATAACAATAAAATTATGTATATAAAATAAAAATTATAATTATTATTGGTATTTTTATTATGATCATTATGATCACAAAACGTTTATCAAAATATATTTAACTATATAAATACTAAATACAAGTGTATGCTAAAGATTTGGCACTAATGCTAATCACAATATTATAATGACTGTCCCAATGATATAAAAGCAATTTAATTATAAAATTATTCAAATTATTATTAATAGTTTCTCTCTATTGGCCTTTTCATTACATTAAATAAAATAAAAAATAATATAATATAAAATAAGTGGTATAATAAAATATTGTATAAATATACATTAAATATAATTAAACAATTCTCTAAAAAAATATTATATATTTATTTTTAAAAAATCATTATTACATTTAATATTATTTCCAAAAATAAATTTGTCAAATAAATCAATTAATATTTAATATTAATAAAAATTTGAAAAAATGTATTCAATTTTATTTTTTTATTATTTTATGTGCTTTTAATTTAATTAATGGCTTAAAAATGTATGTTAAATTTTTTTTATAAAGAGAGATAACAGAGCACACGGAGGAAAGTTAGTTAAGAAAAAATTAAGAGATAGGTTTGCCTCAAATAAATCATTAGTTTTTTTTCGCGGTTTAATTTTGTTTTTATTTTTTCGGACATTTCATTGCAATACAAGTCAATTAAATGTTTCGGAAATATATCTATATCTATAAATAAAAATAAAATAATAAAATACAATAAAAACAAATTATTTTTATCAATAAATTTTTTTTTTAAAATTTCTTGGGCGCTAAAATACATCGTACAATGATATCATATATATATTTATTAAATAATTTTTGTTGTTGATATTATTAGGACAGTCATGTTTGTATGTGTATATATAAATAGTACTTTATTTTTTCTATCTATATTATTAGTCAACGCGCACCGGGAGTTTCAGTTTAGGGGCTGGAAAAAATGGGCATTAATCCAGTAAATGGGTTTTGATAGTTATCCGAGTAGTGAGATAACTAATAATAAAATAATAGCTGAGAAACCTATGAACACACACACAGTGGTATAAAGTGTTTGCTTGTGTTATATATACTGTACAATAATATATGGCTAATAACTGAGACATAAGAAAATGATGACTCTGTATGTATGTGACTACCATTTCTCAATACATACAACACAAATAACTATTACTATGAATGTCATTAAGTATTAGTATTATTTTATTTTTTGTTGGCCAAACTTTTCAAAACATAACATCATCATCACCACCAATAACAACATTGGCTGGACTGTACATATTTGGACTGCCAGTGCATTGATGGTGATGGTCGTGTGATCATCATTGTTCAGTAATACTCAATTATATAAGCTCACGGATAATATTGTATATACCGTATAACTACCAGTGCTAATGTATGATACGTTTTTAGGTATCACTGCTGCTCAAGTGTATGTATATGTTTGTATGTGAATCAGTTGTGTGAATGTGCCTAAACACACACACACACACACACACACACACACACACACACACACACACACACACACACACACACACACACACACACACATTCAACTAAACATACAGAAGCCGTCAAATTTTTAAGGCAACGATCACGTAAGTCATTTAGGATTGTATGGCATCTCTCTCTCTCTCTCTCTCTCTCTCTTCTCTCTCTCTCTCTCTCTCTCTCTCTCTCTCACACACACACACACACACACACACTCACACACACATACATACATACTCACTCATGGTATGTGACTGTGTATTACTGTGTCGATCATATGTGTTGTGTTGGTGTGCACTACTACTTGCGGCACAAGTATTACCGGGCGTTTGGAAATCCAATTTCAGTGATGGAGTGCACGTATCGCTCAGTTATGTCTTATATGGAGTGTCGGTCACGTCTATCACTGTTTTCATATATTTATGTAATAATAATAATCGTAATAATAAAAGTATCATCTTTTCTAAAACATTGATAGCTTTGAAGCCTTTTTCCTTTCGCTTCTTACACTACACACATACCTAATCTAAAGCTAGAGAAGCGCCTAAATGACAGCCATAGCACAGACACTCCATATTCTTCTATATAGCAATGAGTTTCTACACATTCTTGTGGTATATTATACATAACAAACCCTTTAGACGGATAGGAAAGAGACCAGAATTTTAGCGACTGTTTCGTGGATACAACAAACCATACCATTGCACACAATATCAATATACATATACACACAGTATATATGAACCTATAGTGTAAGCGCAGATAAAACGGTTCTTTCGGTTAAGTGTACGTGAGTTGAATATTAGGGCCCAATAGCATACGTGAGCTGATTGTGCACCAGTGCTCAGATGAGAGAGAACATAGAGAGAGCTATGAGAGAGAGAAGTATTGTCTGCATAGCGCGTGTCTATTCCGGGCTCTCTCTCTCTCTCTCTCTCTCTCTCTCTCGCTATGTGTCTCTCATCTTAACTCTCTCATTCACACTCATTGTATCTCTCTATCCATAAGCTCTCTCTCCCTGTGCTCTGTCATGCGATCAGTGTTGGAGATGCGCCCATACAAAAACCCATAGTTACCTGTCCTCCTAAAAACAGTTGTGCCCAACATATCCAATGAGATGTTAAGGTAGGCGTTGCGCCGGTTGCTTGTGTGTCGCGCTGTAATAATATACTGTTTGTTATACAATAACAAACAACACGGACGCGACATAGTAGGGAAAGGGAGAGATAGATAGTGAGAGAGAGAAAGAGGAAGAAAAAGTTATTTATCTTTATCCTCTCTGTGTGTCTATCTATCGTGTGTATGTGTGTGTGTGCGACCAAATAAGTTCAACTGTTTTATCACTTATCTCATCCACACTCCATCACATACCGATAGCCATAAAGCTGGCTAACACTGTAGGCTCGGCCATTGTGTCTGCCCATCATCACCACCACTCGCCATCGGCACCGCACCATCAGTCACAGCACCATCACTTGGCGCCTCCACCACCGGCACCTCATCCACCGCATCACTTGTCACCGTTATGTCCCTGTATGTACTGTCAGGGAGGAGCAGCAGCAGCCGGTATGGTCGGCGATCCATCGGCAATGATGGACCCAAACCCATACAATCCATATCATCACCCATATTACAGGTATGTGTGAGCTATGCTATTGCATAATACATTTTCACATATAAATGTTTACATATATTATATATAACTTTAAAATATGTAACTATAGCAATAGTAATTACAGTTTATAATAAAAATCATATATTATAATATTATTGTTATTAAAACTATTAGTTTTAGTGATGAAATTTTAGTAACTATTTTTTAATTTATGAGATATTATCAAATTTTAATTAAAATTTAAATGTATTATAAATATAATATAAAGTATTATAAAAATAATTAATATGCTTATTCTAATATAGTGTTTTTGCATTTTGTATGTTTTAAAGTTGCATAAAATTTGTGATTTTGAGATTTATAATTATTTTATAATTTAATTGTTATAAATAATGTAATAGTAAAATTTTGTTTAAGTAGTCTCAATATTAAAAGTGTGAATTAAAAATTATCCGGATAAACATAATTTTAATGCATTTGTTTTAATATTATTGTAAAAAATACATTAAGTTATTGTCAATAATATTGACTCAATATTGTGATAGTTTTTAATAAAACATTTAGAAATTTCTTTTAAATTAACACAAAAAACAAATCAAATAAAACTTTAGAAAAAATCAGTTTTATTATTTTTAATTACATATATAATTTTTTTATAATCCTATTCTGTAATTATTATAGTTATAATAATATGGTATTTTTATTTACGACAAAAACATTTATATCTTTAATTACCGGTAAAACTGAAATATTTTATAAAAGTTATGATTGCATATGATTTGCACAAACAATGTTTAAAAAAGATTAACTTTTTTTTGTTATGGGAGCAGATGTTATGTCATAAATGATAGCAATTAGCACTCGTATTACGGCTAACAATGTTTAGCAGTTTGTTAATCCAGTTTAATCCCTCGCAACTAATCCCAGTGCTTGTGTGTGTAATAACTTATTAGATAAATAAGTTATTACTAATAACAGCTTTTTGTCATTTTAATGATTATCCAGTGAAATAGCAGCAAATAATAAAAAAAATAAATTAATTTTATTAAAATAAATCTAATTTAAGTTTATAACCCATAATATTGTTTAATTTTATATATTTTTTTAATAAATCCGATTTAATTAAAATTAGCATTTAGGATGTTTAACATGAGATGGGGATAATTTTGACGAAAAAAATAAAAGTTTTATTTATTGTACCTAACAGGGCTACTACTACTACTAATAATAATAATACTTAAATATTATAATGAATCTAATAAAACTCATAGCAAATGTTTATCATTAAACTTATTATTTTGATATATTAAATAATAATAAGTTTACACAACTTTTTTTTGAACATAAATTAAAAATAGGGTTTCCGGTGTCATAGATAAAACATAGCTAATATATTATACATCTAATTACAGTACCCATCAATGTCATAATATTTAATGCAATGTATTATTATTAGTGGTAATGATTTTATTTTTATTTCTAAGAAGTTTTTTAAAGTTAAATTTTAAAAAAGGGAAAAATACTAACAATTACTTATTATTTACAATTATTTAAGTAAATATATTTTAACTAATTGTATTTATATGGGAAAAGATTATTTATCATACTGTATTATTACATTTATCATTATTAAAAATATATTTTAAAAATATTATAGCAAACATTAAGCTTTTTAATACATGTAGTTATTTATTTAGTGAATATCCTATTTGATGGGTTTTATTGTTGATATTGATGTTGTTGGTGTTATTTTATTTTGTCTATAATTACCAACAATTTGCATATCAATTGACCATATCTTGCAATTTGAATAAATAAAAAAGGAGATAAGAGAGAGAGAGAGAGAGAGAGAGAGAGAGAGAGAGAGAGAGAGAGAGAATGTTTGCACTTAATAACTAAGATTTCAAACTCACACTTTAAGACAAGTGAAAAAACTATTAAACAACAAAAACTTTAATATCATTGAAAGCAAAGAAATAATTGTGATTTCTTTATGAAATATGAAATAAATTATAATTATTTTTTGAAATGCATTTATCATTTGCTTTAGTGCTATAATTATACGCTTATAATACTGTATATAATAATGTTATATAATATTTTGCAATTTCTCTTTCTCTCTTACTTTTTCTCTGATTATTATTATATTACTATTATATTCATTATATGTGTTGTGCTTTATATATATATTATTGACTTTAATTTAGTTTTTTACTGAAACAAAACTATACATTTTGTAAATTAGTTTCTTATGCTAATCAATGACAGAAATTTTTAAAACAGAGAAAATCATTTTGCTATTACTTTCTCTCTCTCTCTCTCTCTCTCTCTCTCTCTCTCTCTCTCTCTCTCTCACACACACACACACACACACATTCACTAACTATTAATGTTTATCTCCCTTTCCCCGGTGTTTCTTACGTTAAACCGACACACATTCATTCACTTAAGACATACCTGTGCCACAATTGAAAACCCAGTGGTGTATTTATCACAACTTTTTTCTATTACATTTGATATAAAGTACAATAGATATACTGTATAATAGTTATATCATACAAACCTCTGTCTAATCTCTATCGTTGTCTTATAAGTCGTAACCTTAAAGTATTTTTTTCAGGTGCTCTCCTTTAAAAAATATCAAATATATATATAATGATTGTCTATAATTGGTGTGTTGTTTTGTAATACTAGTAATAAAATAATATATTTTTAAAAATTTATTTATACAGTATATAATATATATATAAATTATATATAATAATAATGTTTATGAATATATAATGTAATTTTGTTTTACAGTGACATCAATATTAGTAGTAGTATTTATTGTTTTGTAATTAATTTTGATTTTTTTAATTATGTAATTTTGTCTAATTGTATATAAAATTTAGTCAGTTTTATCATTAATATGTTATCATGCTAATTAAATCAGTTTAATTTCAACAAAATTTAGGTTTATTTTTATTTAAAAAACATAATTGTTATTAATTTAAATTTTCTAACCCACAAACTTATCTAAATATATTTTATACGATTTAATATATTTTAAGTCAATTAAATACACTTTATTTATTTGAAGAGATGATTTTAGCTTTTAATATAAGTTTAATATATTGTATTTTAAATATCAATATAAGTATATACAGACAAACAACACTCAACATAGATATATGAATGCAAAATTAAATCTAATATTAGAGTTTAATACCAGAAATATTATCTACATTTAAAATCTAATTGCCTTTAAGTCAAGAAAATTAGTAAATTTTAGAAAATTTTCTTCACTTTAATATCTTTTTTCTATCATTGAAAACCTTGAGAACCTATTTTTGTGTATATGTTTTAAATAAACTTTTTTTTAATAAACTTTATTATCTCTCTCTCTCTCTCTCTCTCTCTCTCATCCCATATATCCAATATATCTATATATCTCTTAATATTTATATGTTTTTCATTGAAGATATTATTTTAAAAAATAAATGTTTTAATAAATTAAGTAAAATATATTTTATTATAAAAAAATATTTGCTTACATATTGCTGTTTTAACTCAATTATCTTATTATTAATAACAATCTCTCTCTCTCTCTCTCTCTCTATCTATCTATCTATCTATCTATCTATCTTTCTCTCTCACTCACTAACTCACTCACTCATTCACACACACACTCACCCGCTCACATGATTGCATAGTTACACAATTTATTAAAAATTTACAACTATTTATTACAAAAAAAACATGTTTTTGCTATTTAAAATTATTAATATATTAACTAAAATCTCACGATTATTTTGTATAACATTAATTTTTACTATAATTGATATTTTTTTAAAAAGAAAATTTAATTATATCTACGGAAAAGGTTTTTAATTTGTTTTAATTTAACAAAAAAATCATCTTTTCGTTTGTTGTTAAGTATGCATCACTCGTATAGCATATTATAGTTAACATCAATACAAACATTAGATTTTAGGTTAATAATAAGCATTTATGATATATATATAACAAATAGTTGAAACATAATTATTTTACATTATTATCATTAATACACAATACTGTATTATTGATACTGTAATTTAAATGCAATTTTAATAAATGAATAATAAATTTTTTAAAATATATATTTATATATTATTAAAATATTAAATCCATTTTGACAATATTCTAAAATGTTTATAATTTTTTAAATTATTGGTTATTTTAGTTATTCAATAATAAATATAACCTATAATAATAAAAAATAATAATAATAGTTTTAATAATAATATTTATTACCATTTTATTGATATTGTGTAGTTAAAATTTTTTGTTACTCTGTACTAACTATTAAACAAAAATATATTTTATGCAAATTTTATGGATAAAAAATACTTTAAATAAAAATAACTTAAAATAAAAATTTTTTGAAAAAATATATTATTTTGTTTTCAATGACAAGAGTATTATAAAACTCAATTCAAAAATATATTGCATAACCAATTTTATTGATTGCTTTAATGACTATATCATCTATTACTACAATAAAATATTAATATATATATAATACGGTATAATAACTTATGATATTTTACGGTAATTAAATATCATTAATAGAAAAAAATTTATTATAATTTTAAATAATTGTAAATTAAAGTATATGATAAATAAATTTATTTCATTTTATTATTCAACAAAAAATAAATACAATTTAAATTCAAAATATTCTAGGAATCTAAACATAAATTTTATGTAAAACCAAATTTTTGTACAAAAAAATATAAAAACAAAAATACTGTTTAAAAAATTGAAGTAAATTGTATTTTCAAACATTAAAACTAATACTGTATATATATATATATATATATATATATTATACTCATTGATATCATTATTTAAAAATCAATTTATTATCAACTTATACGCCATTTGCCAATATCTGGTATTTTTGTACACTATTTATAGTTAATGGTATTAAAAAATATACGATAAAGAAAAATTGCCCAAAAATTTGTTGAGAAATTATGCAAATAAATTTTTCCATAGATATTTAATAATAATAATATTTTTTTAAATTTAGGCACAATTCTAGTTTTTTAACACACAAAAAATAACTAAATAATAATAAATTATAACAAAAAATATAAATCTTAGCTAATGAATAAAACTTGATGTATAATACTATACTATATATAAAGAGCCAGTCAATTGATCTTGCGCCACCTAATTTTTGAATAACTTTTAAACGGTTATAGATAATTTAATTCTGTAAAATACATTTAAGAATATCATATCGACCACACTTAATATACACACAAACGCAAAACTAGGATGACCAGATATACAGAATATCGGGACCAACGAAAGACACTATGCTACAGGTCAAACCACAACTGATAAATTTATTATGACAATGAAACTTTGTAGTCAAGAAATAATAGTTTAATATAAAAAAGAATCATCAAAATCGAATTGGTAGTTTAGTTTTTATGGCTTGTTAAGTTTGTAATAAATCTTATTATATAATATGGTCTAAAATAAAAATGACGTTATTTATAATTATTATATATTTATAAGATAAAATTTTCAATTATATTGCTAATTGTAAAAACGAAATTTTAATATATCGACTAGTTTTCAAAATTATCGAATTTTAATATAAATTATATTATCAAATTACAATAGTGTGATTTATATTCAAATTCGATTATTTTGAAAACTAGTCGATATATTAAAATTTCGTTTTTAGAAATATTAATATAATTTAAAATTAAATCTAATAAATATATAATATTCATAAATAACGTCATTTTTAATTTAGACCATATTATATAATATGATTTATGACAAACTTAACAAGCCATAAAAACTAAACTACCAATTCGATTTTGATGATTCTTTTTTTATATTAAACTATTATTTCTTGACTACAAAGTTTCATTGTCATAATAAATTTATCAGTTGTGGTTTGACCTGTAGCATAGTGTCTTTCGTTGGTCCCGATATTATGTATATCTGGTCATCCTAGTTTTGCGTTAGTGTGTATATTAAGTGTGGTCGATATGATATTCTTAAATTTATTTTACAGAATTAAATTATCTATAACCGTTTATATATATATCAATTGACTGGCTCTTTATATACGCTATGTATCATTAAATACAAAATACTGCAAAAAAGTTTCAAAACTATTAATTTATATTAGCTCTGTTAGTCTTACATAACATTTTTACATATACTGAATGAAACAGAGAGAGAGAGAGAGAGAGAGAGAGAGAGAGAGAGAGAGAGAGAGAGAGAGAGAGAGAGAGAGAGAGAGAGGCATAGGTATACCCATCAGTGATCTGTGCTTACCTGTGCTCTCCCATAGATTCTCACCATTTAAACTATACAGTACACAATATATAAGAGCCACGAGACTATACATATCCCCACACCGTTTCCATCCCTTAATAAACTAGTATTACAGCATATAATATAAGAAGAGACACTGAGGATAAGGTGCACACCATATATATTATATATACAATATATTGTATGTCTGCTATACCCCTAGCTTATGGTTGGTCTCCAAGACACACATTACTATACCCCACTGTGCCGCTTAATAACCATATACTGGTTCTCTCTCTCTCTCTCTCTCTCTATCTGGACTGACGCACAGAGATATTACACAACAAGCACAGGTAGTTAAGAGAGAGAGAGAGAGTCCCTGATTTTAGTTATTTGATTTTTTTGGTGACTCTCTTTAAGTCAAACATACATAAGATTTTATTTACTATTATTATTATTAATTTTAAGACAACACTAAAACAATGTTTACTTGAATTTCGTGTTAAACAACACTAATTTTTTGAACAACAATAACAATAATTATAATAATTTTAGTAATAATAAATAATAATACTGTATTAATATAATAAAGATAATATAATAACAACAAATAGTCAAATAATTGTAATGAAATCAAAATTTATTTTATTATTATTTTCTAAACATTATTTTTCAAAAATTAATTGTTTAATCATTTTTATTGTTTGTTTGTTTTAATTGCTTAATTTATAAACTATTTATACTACTGTATAAAAATTATTATTGTAATCATCATTATAATTACACAATTGTCTATCAATTTTTTTAAAAGTTACTTATCTGATCTGTATTTATCTTTTTTTCTCCCTCTCCTTGTCATTGACAGAGTCGGTACCACTGGTGTCAAAGATCATCATCACCACCATCACCATCAAAGTGTCGAGTCGGCAGCACAGGCAGCTGCTGTACAAACCAGGTATGTCAAGCAAAAAAAACATTTATTATATAAATAATATATTTTAGAAAAAAAACATTAGGTCTGAATCTAATTATGTTAAACAACACATACAGACATAAATCGAGAAATTTTGTTTAATTATAGTTTTAGATTTCAAAAAAAAATTGAAAAATATATTTATTTTCAATAGACATTGAAAAATTGTAGAAAAAATGTATTTTTTTCTAAGTGAATTTATTTTGATTTATTGTTTATATTTCTATAACAACTATATTAATATTAATTTTATTATTATTATAAATTAGTATTTAATGTCATCACCAACAATAACAATAACAATAACAACAACAAAAATATTTTATTTTATTTAGACATTATATGATACTTATTGTTAGCAATAATTATAAGTATTTATTGTATAAATCATATCAGTATATTTATATCGTGAAAACACATTTATCTTTTTTATATATAATTTTTTTACCACAATATGTGTTGATTGTATTTTTTTGGGCTATTATTATATATTTAGTCTCAATTTTTCTTTCACTTTTTTGTGTGTATTGTTTTGTTTGTTTGCGGTGATAATCGTTTGCGTAAAACGTTTGTATGACTGTGTGTGTGTCTGCCGTTTGACTACCGATTACTTTACGTGTCTTTAGTAGTCGCAAGCACTGGTAGTGTAGAAAAAAACAGTAGTAATAGTAGTAGTCGTAGTCATATGTGCTTAAAATCTGATGACTTCGTGACTACCTCTCAGCTGGCGTTTTGAGGCTATATTTTGTATGACAATTAAGCAATTTGTACGATCGGGTGTGTGTCGGCACATCGGCACATACACATAGTGAGAGTGAGTGAGAGAGAGAGTGAGTGAGTGAGTGAGTGAGTGAGTGAGTGAGTGAGAGAGAGAGAGAGAGAGAGAGAGAGAGAGAGAGAGAGAGAGAGAGAGAGAGAGAGAGAGAGAGAGAGAGAGAGAGAAAGAGAGAGAGTATAAATATGAGACACCATAGACAGACACTTGTATTTAAAGCACACGTCTCTCGTTTTTTGGTATCACTTATAGACTCTCAAAATTGTATGGTATGTGACATTCATTGAGAATTCACATTGTGTTCAATCCATTATGTATACGAGTGCCCTATCATCATCTTAATATGTGTGTGTGTGTGTGTGTGTGTCTAACATACACACACATACTAACATACCGGTGCTTATTTCACACACACATACACTAGAAAACGATTATTTCAATCACAGAAAAAAATTCCGAAAAAATAACATTTATTTTCTTTCAAAAAATAAACAAATTTGTCATTTCATTGATATCATAGCAAACATATTCTGTATATTTAATGGTTAACTTATCTAAATATAGAAAAATATTACACAAATAATAAGTTATACATTTATTTATTGCATTTATGTATTAAGTTTTCACTTAAAGTAATTTTTCAAAATGAGAATAATGGCTAAATTTAAATGAAACTAACATTAAATAATATAATACATATAACATATAATAATAATAACTATTTGATAATATAAAGTTTTATAATAATATACAGTATATTATTATAAAAGTACAGTATATAATATACAGTTTTATATCTCAACAATTTTCTCCTATTATTTTATTTTTAGGATTTTAGCTCTCAATTTGATGATTCAATTTAATAGTTATATTTGGATTTATTTAACTTATTTCTTATTTCTCTCTCTCTCTCTCTCTCTCTCTCTCTCTCTCTCTCTCTCTCTCTCTCTCTCTCTCTCTCTCTCTAACCCACTGTTTGCAAACGGTATGATCAGTATATGTAGTGATGATTGTCTAGGATTGTCTATAAAATATATAGACTTTCACAAATGTATATACATATTATATGTAACATATATATAAAAAACTGTTTTATTTTTTCATTTTCAATATTAAAGCTTATTTCTAGTGTGCACTCCATTAGAGGATTATTTACCCATTTCTCCGGACTGTTCCGAAAAAAGCACTGTTAGATAGTATGTGGTGTATGCCTCACATACACACAAAAAACATATCAATAGACTAGCAATACAACTGTCTTTTTTAGTGACTCTACTGTAAATACTGTTTTTATTGTACTATTTTTTTATGATGAGCTCCGATATTAAGCCTACCTTTAATACAGATATATGTGTGTGTCGTATCTCACTTTCAATATATATATGGTTTTTATGGTTAATAATATATAAGTTATATATATACTGTATATATATATAACTTTATTTTCAGTTTATACAATGTTTTGGGCCATTATTCAAAATAAAATAGAACACTAGTATATAAAATATTATTATTATGACATTGTGTTATAGTTTGACATAAAAGTTATCATTTCAATTGGTCCTAAACATTTAATGTCAACTTGCATAGTCCTACTTTTATATTTATTAGCTATGTGTGTGTGTGTGTGTGTGTGTGTGTGTGAGTGTGTTTATGCCTAAGCTATTAGGCCGGTGCCCACAAAAATAGTATACAACATACACACATGAGACTAATTTTAACAATTTTTTTTTGGATTTTTTGTGGAAATTTTTCCACAAATTTTTAATGCTATAAATATATGTATATTATGCATGTGATTTTTAAGAGAGTTAATCCCTTAAATAAACATAAATATGAATAAATACAAATACAACTATTATCATAAATAAGTGTCCTAAAAACTTATATGTAGTCATAAGGTATAGTCATGCGAAATATCATAATAATATTTAAAAAGATTTTATTATATTTTATATATTAATCAGGGATGCGTAAAAGGATAGGTTTAACCGTTTAGTAAAAAAGTTCCCTGATAAATTCCCTTATATTTTCCCGAAAAATAATGCAAATATTTATTTTTTTATAGTTATAAAAGAAAATATATTTAATTTTTTAATATAAAGTTGAATTTTCAGATAACAAATATTGAAATTTTTAGAGTACAAAATRTTTATTATAAATTTAATTAACTATTATACCTTTAAGTTGTTGTAGTTTTTAGCCTTTTATGTTTTTATACAAAATTATTATTTTTAAACTTTAGTAAAAATCAATATTAATAGTTTAATAAAATATTTTGATAGTATTAATGAATTAGGTTGGGAATATTTTCTTTACTTCAGGGATTTATAGGGAATTTATTAGGAATATATAGTAAATTTTTGGGGAATATATAAACATTTTATAGGAAATATTGTGCATCTAATTTTTATTATAATTATCATTTAAAATAACTTTATTATATTTTTTTATGTATTCATAATTATTTTACTACTGTATATTTTATAATATATATTTGTAAATAAATGTTCTTAAAAATCACATGCTTAATGTATATGTTTTGCAATAATTTTTAGTTTTGGGATATAGAAAAAATCAAACAATTTTATGATTAAATTTCAATATAAATTTATTTATTTTTTAAAAAAAGACACATTATATTGAAACATAACTTAACAGTAAAAATAAAATTGTACTATCACATTTACTCAATTATATATAAATTTATATTGAGTAGAGAGGGTGTACTACAGTTTTATGGTCTCTTTTGACTGTATTTTTATATACTCATTTTACTCACCCACTCACTCACTCATTCATTCAAACACTTACTAAAACCACACATACAATATACAGTATACCTAAAATACAGTGGTTTTATAGATGAAAGGGAAAAATTGAATTGAATTGAATTAACATATTTGTTTGAATTTGCATTGATTATCCTTCAATATATTGCTTATGTATGTATTTATATGTGTGTATTTTTGAGAGTGTTATGTTTAATAATTTTATTACTATTATTATTAGTATTATTAAATTTTTTCCACCAATAATACACATTTGCTCTCGACTTTTGTAAAAAGCATTATTTCAGGCATTTTTATAAAATTATATATATATATAACATTTACAGTATACGGTATAATATACTGTATTGTACACAATATTATATTTATAAGCCTTAAAAAAAGTTTGAGACCTGATTTATCCCATTTGAACCAAATATAAGTGAAACGATAATAGTATTATATACTATATATAATATATTAATATATTATTTTACTTATATAACTTAATTTAGTCGATCTTTTTCAAGCATCCATACAGTGATATTGATATATATATATATATATATATATATTAATAAGTAAACTGTCGAGTATATTGAATATACTGTATATAATGCTAGGGAAAGGGACACAAAAGGGATGGTTAGATAAGAGAAAGCAAAAGTTTGAAAGAAATATTTTTTAAAATTTTATATTAAATATACAGTCAGTCTATAATACTATATTTATATATAAATTTTTAATAAAATTCAGTGTCGGTATAGTTATTATATTATATGAATCTTTTCTCTAATAAATCCCGTAATGCTTAATATAATATATAAATATACTTTATATATATAACTAAAACTAAATTATAAAACTTTTTTTTGCCACAAATTTAAACGTTATATTATCTATCATATTTTCTAATATTACTGCATATATTAAACATATAGCGTTATATAATATATTTAAGACAACAACATTAGTATATATTGTATATACACTATATATTTTCCCACATCTTTGACTGTGATTTTATATGATTTCTTATGTATATAATATATGTATTTAAAAATATATACACATTTCAGTGATGGTGTTTTTTCCCCTCCCTAACCACTACTTTCTCCCCTTTAATGCTTAAGATAAAGACAACGATTACACACACATTGTGTACCTATTTTTTTGCTATACTTTTTTTTGCTGGCATTATATTTAGTGTTTGGGATAATAAGTTATAACTCGAGGCAATAAATGTTTGCATTTCTCTCTCACTTTTATATTATATATATATATATATATATATATAATATGAGATGTGTTTTAAAGCAAAAAAAATAACTAAAAGAAAAATTAAATTCATTTGGTTTTCTGGTTTTCAATGAAGGTCAACAACGAAAGAGAGAGAGAGAGAGAGAGAGAGATAAAAGATCTCTCTCTCTCTCTCT